TGGAAATTGCTCAATTTCGAACAACGAATACCCTAGTTTTAATAAGACCCCAATGTGACAAATAGAAATTTGCTTCGTCTGGTTCCTCGCGGAGTTTATTACTATCAGTTTCATCATAGTGAAATTAATTAAGAAAATAATCGTAGTATTTTAACATATCTACACAATGAATTAAAATATTTTTACATAGATTACAGAACACGTTTGTAATAAGTATAAAGAAAACATTGCTCTTGTAAACTGAATAAAACTTAGCAATGATGATAAGTCCTCCTATTATTTTAATGTTAACTTGTTATCATTCGATTAAGAGTATGTTGCTAAAAAAGTGGCCAGAAACAAATACCAAGATAACCAACTGGTGGAATTTGTATGGAAACACATTTGACACCCTTTATGAATAAAACATAGTAGAAAAATATGAAGGTTGGACTTTCAGAAAGCTGTGACAGCTTATGTGATTAGCTTAGGTGTATTAAAAAAAAACATGTTATTTATTTAAGAGTTATTTGTGGACCGAAGTGTCTGACGATGGCATCACGCCGAAGCACATACCACTATTGATACGTTTGGAACCAATAATAAAGAGCCATTTAGTTAGTTATTATTGGTTAGTAGTTACTTGTTTGGATTTATTGTTTTATCTAGCCTAAAGATCGTTTTATTTCTGCAAAATAATAAATTTGTCGAGTGGCGTTTCACGGAGTTGTTCCAGTATTTTTTTCACAATCGCAGTAAAAAATTGAATGGTTTTTTTTAATACTCCTTGAAAATATATGAGTTTATAATGGTGTAATACCCGAGCCTTGCAGCGAGGGGGGTACGCAAAAGAGAATAATCCTTAGAATAGTCCTTTAGATATGCATGCAATGTTTATTCATCTATTTTACTTTAGAAACAAAACACTTATTTTTACGATATAATTTTTTTAAAAACCTCAAAAATTTCTATAGAACGATACATAAATCACGTTTTGAGTTTATAAAACATTTGTATGATATTTTTTCCATGTAACCCAGATAACAATGTAAATGTTGGAATTTGGCTAAGTTAATGACAAATATTTGTGTTTAACGGTTTAAGGTAAAATTAATGAGAGATATGTTCAAAGCTTACGCTGTGCCAAAACATGTTCCAAGTTGGCTTTAGTTTCCCTTCGTAATATATGTCGCATGTTTATTAATTTACATATCGGATGTCTAGCATACGAAAAAATACGAATAGGTATAATGATTTAAAAAATGGAGTACATAAAAAATAAATAAAAAAATTCATTGACGGCGGATATTCGCTTTTTTATTATAAAAAGTCAAACCCAGCGTTGTCCGTGTCAAAATATAATTCACAATAATGGTACGGTAATACAAATAATTTGAAAGCAACTGTTGTATTAGTGACGTACACTATATTTTATTTTAACATTTTTTGAGTGTAATGTCACTCCGTCCGTCTAAACAGAGGTGGGGTGGTGGTACTTGTAATTATGTTTATTTAGCACTACCTTCAAACAGTGCACACTGACAGTTTCATCTTCAAAATATATTTCCGTTGCAACATTTACTTAAGGTACCTACTGTATTAGTTTTTCCGATAGCAATACTTGGATGTTCTTCGTACTTTTTCTTGGCATTATATCAAAACTTGCAGTTCTATGCGCTCGTTTAAACGGCGTTGTTGGAGTATAGTTGCCGTTCTACTGTGTTCATTTTCTTGTTAACTTCGATTAGCTAATTGAAGCTAAATAGATCTAATTTTCGACTGAATAGTTTATTTGAAATTTTCAATATGCTCTTTATTTAGATTTTTCCTTTTGCTCTCTTTTACTTGTTTCTTCAAAGTTGTTGGTGTCGTTGTTTTTCCACCCTTTAAATCTACACACAATTTTTCATCTATGCATTCCAATACTATTGTGTGAATAATAATTTCTAGTGCTTAGGCTTTTTTTTTTAATTTTATTATTTCTATCACTTATATGTTTTATCCCTATACATCTCTAATATTCCAGACCAATCCAGAATATTTTAGAGAAACTGCTATCAAACATCCTTGGGTAGTCGGATGTGTTCTCTCCTAGAACATTCTAGAAACATCTGGTATTTTCTTTCTAGAGCATTCTAGACCAACCTCTATCGCACATTTCTCTAGTTTAGTTTGAAGTTATGAACCATCCTAGATTGTTCCCGATCATTGAACTATTTCAATTCCAAAATCCATTGGCATTGAAATAGTTTGACTGAAGAGTAATATAACTAATAATATACAGAAAACCGATATGAATCCTGGGTTAATAGTAACCATCCTATTTTGGAAATGTACTTAATGTACCAATATTAGTTATAATGTAATGCTTTATTTCTTTACTGGATCCATGCAATGTTTCGTCAAATCACACGTGTTTTATTGCTCTCAGGCGTCATTCAACAAGTGTCTGCGATTATAGCTGGTCTGTAATTAGTTTCGTCGTTGAACAGTATTGTTTAAACGTGCTGTTTGTGATATAATGTTGAAAATGTGTATGTGATAAAAATGATTATTATACATATTATTAGAAGTAAAATGAACACTCACCTGTTATTCGTTATTATTTGTATTACTAAGAGTTTAGTGGGTGTATTCTCTTGTGATCCAGAAATAATTAAGAAAATTAAGACTGTGAATCTTGAAGAATTCAATGATTTTATCCCATACGTAAGTACATATTTTAATTTATCTATATGAACTCTGTACCCTAAAAATATACGTTATGTTGGATCATTTAAAGTAAAAGAGTATGAATTATAAGTAGCCATTGAAATATTCACATTTATTTTTAAAGAAAATTAACGGATTTTAATAAATTATTTTTAGGCCCAAATGTGTGATCGACAAAGGTACAATTAATTGACATTTACTCCAGCCTGTATGTGAAATATTAAAACTACTGTGCCTGTACCTTCGGTTAATCACTTATTTTCATGCAGAAGACATTAGGTTCTGGAAATCTCAAAACGGAAGGTAAAGGTAGTTCGACTAAAACAAATATATGACGTATAATGTGGTTGCGCCTAGTGAGGACTTGACGGTGGTGGTATTCCACTCGGTTTATATTGAAATCTAGCACTAGGCCTCGTTGAAAGATTGTATTTAGCTATGTGCATAGTTTACTAGATACTTCTCCGTTGTTGATTAATGAAAAACTAACATTTTGAGTCCAAGAGTAGTTGTGGAGTTTATCTATAGTTAAAGCAGGTTAAATTCGCCTAGATTTAGTATGTTTGATTCGTGTGATAAGCCATGAGCTTACGATTATGTAATGTGTTAACTGCAACATATGTTATTACCGAGCCGCTGCCTTTACCTTCACCTCCAGCTGTACATTTACCACTTCACTTCACTATGTGAATACCCTGGTTACGTTTGCATCTCTGGGCGAGTTTTTTGCACTGTGTCGGGGACAAAAGTAGCATAACTAAACTATTATTTACAGCCATCCATATGAGCACCATACCCCATCGAAACGCCTAAAAGGGATCTGTTCACCATTACAATTTCCTGCATGCAAATCAGGTTAAGTTAGGTCAGAAAGAAAGGTAATTCAGGTTGGACTGGTTTACATAATCATCATTTGTATACAGTAAATTTTTATAGTGGCACCCCTCTTCTTGAAGGACTCGGCAAAATCTATTTCTAACATGTGCTGAAAAAAAGAAGACAAGCAGAACTACTACGCTTGGACGTGGGTTCATTTTTATTATTCATCTTTACTAGTGTACCTGTTGCTCGAATTCGAGCAATTGCGAAGCATTACAGGCGACTCAAAGATTATGGAAATACTCACGATCTACACAACAGTTAGATATAATCAAAATCCTTTGTAAATATCTTATATTTTTTTCAAAAAGCTCATCTTGTTTTTTAGTGTAAAAAAACAACATTATTTCTATTTCTTCTACTTGGTTGTGTTCTATGACTTTTTCTATGTTTCCATTGTTTGCAAATCGGTTATTTCAATGATTGCTCAAGAAATGTAGCACAGTGTTAATTCAATTTTATGTTTAGCCTATATCAAATTGTATCAGGATTTCTTGCTCTTTCCATTGTAATTATTACACCAACCCAAGTTTCGTCTACAGATGCAATATGCCAAAAAATATCACCTACGAACAATCTCCAAGAAGAGGTAAAAAGGCAGAAACCAACCCATACAATAAATATAAGTTAACTCCATAAGAAATAATTTTAAAAGTTACTGTGATATTAGGATTTTCTACTGATTTGGTAATAGAATATTTTATTGCAAAACATGACACGATGCAGAAGAAAATGAATTTTAAAATCAGAAAAATCCATTGCAAATACTGTACTTCATTTTGACAAATTCAATAAATCACAATTTAAATATTACCAGCTGTTGCATTAAAAAGTAGTGTAGAATTATGCATATGGTCGTAATGTAAACAAATCTGAAGAGGCAACTTTAAAGGCTTCTGGGGCAGAGCCCCAAGGGAATTTACCTCTTTCTTCTTTTGATGGCTCATCTACAGACCAAGACCTTTCTTTAGAGACCCCTACCAAGTTTCTACGCCCAGCCGTTCTCTCAAATTAGCTGTGACATAAACCCCGTTTTCCTCCATAAGAATAACATGGGATGGCAATTTAAAGGCCACGGGGGCAGAGCCCCAAGGGAATTCACCATGTTTTTCTTTTGATGGCTCATCTACAGACCAAGACCTTTCTTTAGACACCTCTACCGAGTTTATACGCCCAGCCGTTCTCTCAAAATAGCTGTGACAAAGAAAAACAGTTTCAAATTAATAAATAGATTCTCAAGTATAAAATGTATCAAATAAAATTAAATATTCATAAAATATTGGTGATGTTTTTATTTTAAATTATATTCATTTCAATGTTAATAATTCTTCTTGAAGATAAAATAATGTTAATGCATCAGCTGAGCAGATAGCCTAGCACTTCATGGTTTCTTTTTTTAGGTTTCAAACAAAATGTTTTTGTCGGTGTGGATGGCCAGGAAACACATATGTAGAGAATGTTACACAGGCTCTGTAAGATGTCATTGGACCAAGTACCTGAGAAATAGAGATAAGGACGATCAGATATCTACTTATAATTTCTTCCGTACTCGGAAGTAAGTATCTTCCTCAACAAAAGTCACTATGTTTTTTTATTGCATTGGGACTACATTAGTTTTATTGCTTAAGGTTGGTGCTTTCTGCATAATTTATTTACTGTTTTAGAATCAGTTTGGACGTTACAAAAAGTCAGACTGAAATAAAACTTAAATATCAGAAAACAATGTCAGAAAAATTAAGTCTCTTATATTTTGACACAGTAATTAGACAAAACGATTCTTTATTTAGGCTGGGTTAAGTTATTTGTATATTATATATTTATCATCATTATTATTATTATTTTTGTATTTTGTTTTGGACAGTTGCCCAGATGCTATAATTATAATGTAAAAAAAATTACGCCACACTATTTATTTTGATGAACTTCCCACGCAAGGATTTAGTCCAGAAAAAGCTGTTTGCCGCCAACTTATTCAAATGGGGTTTCATTGCGTACTACCGTACTCTAATGAGTTTTACCGGAAACCAATCAGCTGATTATACTGTATTTAGGTGGCAATGAATGGTTATAAACAAAAATATAAACTGTTTTAAAGTTATGACTAGTGATTTTTAGTCCTTTAGTTGGTGGAAATATATAAGGATTTGTACAGATTTAGTAGTATGGCGTAAACTATCGTACGTAACTCGTCCAAAATGTGTGTACCGGACTCGTATGGTAATCCCGTACTCGACTGTGTCTCGCGACTCGTTGGGAACGACCACACTCGTCTGGTAAACACTTATTAATGTTTGAAACTCATTGATTTGCAGCTTGGATTTTGTTTGCAATTTCCGGTTCCTGGATAGCATCCATCTATCCTTCAATTTACCCAATCAGATATTGTTTTCCTGACTAAGTAAACGTATCTAAATATATAAAAGGCAAAGCCCTCACTGACTCACTGACTCACTCATCACTAATTCTCCCACTTCCCATTTACCTAGGAGGCTGAAATTTGGTACACTGATTTTTTAGGCATTAAATAGGAAAACTAAGTAGTTTTTATTCTGATCGGACTCTCGGGCTCCGCCCCAGTGGCTCTGGAGTTTCCCATGTTAACCTTATGATTTTTCATATTTAAAAGGAATTAATAAATCTTAACAGCTGTTTCAATTAAACAAGTTAGTTCTATTCTATGATGTTCAATAGCATTAAAGTTACAAGGATTACCAACAGGGTGCAGCACTATCATTTTTTTTTTTAATTTATGACAACAGCTAATTTGCAACCAAAAGGTGAGTGAGCGTAGCGAACGAACTTCAACCTGGAGGCGAGTTAGTGTAGCGAACGAGCTAACCTGAAGGCAAGTGAGCGCAGCGAACGAGCTCCAACCTAAAGGTGAGTGAGCGTAGCGAACGAACTTCAACCAGGACGTGATTGAGCCATGCGAATACTTATGAAGTTAAACGGGGCAAAGCCCGAGGGTACAGCTAGTACCTTATAAATAAACTCATTCATGCTATGCTAATTTAAAGGCTAACAATTTAAAACTAATTACTTACTTTAGTTTGTATCATTATATTTATAGTACCTAGGACAAATGTCTAGCGTCCTAGGACGAAAAACAATCATATCTGTAGTCGTCATTAATGTAAACATTTTTGGGTTTCAAGCTGATGTGTAGTGTTTTCGCCCGTTAAAATTTGCGTTTCACAGTGATTATCACGTTTGCTGTTTAGATTGACAGCAAGAGCGGTAATTTATTCTGAACTTGGAAGAGTTTTGACAAAGTACAAAGCCAACGTTTTAGTCGAAATAAGTAAGTATCTTGAATCTGCTACAAAAGTTTTCATTTGTCTACCATTAATTACGCATAGTTTGATTTACAACACGTAAATATAACGCATATAGACTTTAAAAAATCTTATTTTTAACTAATACAAAAGACTAAATCGAAAGATTTTAGTTTGTGCGTTGTATAGTAAACATAGTTATTCTCACATCACCCGTAAGCTTGATTATACAAATCCTGTACATAAAAATATAATCATACTTATAAGTATTACTCTATTGCAAGTAATGTTTAATTTAATTTAAATATTCTCAGGTTTGGCTGTAATGGGCATTTTTATGTGTTCGGTGGGACTACCGTACTTAAAGATTCAGAAAACTGTCGTAGACCAGCCTGATAGAGAACATGATTTAATTTTATTTCGATATTGATATAAAATTTTATGAAAAAATCTTAAAATATAAGATTATAAGCAAATCATATACTCTAGTAAATTAAAACACAGGAAAAATTGCAATTCCGATTAACGGGTTACAGATAAAATGCTAAGAAACATACATTTTTCTTAAATTATACTTATAGTTTTTTGAAGCAGCGATTAGTCAATTTGTTTAACAAAGCAGAACACATTGGTAACTTTGTCTTAAACAAATAATAAAATGGGCTTTTAGATGATAAAACTGAAGTCCAGGAGTATTTTGTGTTCCCCCTGTACATCAATAAAGAAGAAGGAGTCATTGCTTATCACAGATGTAAAGTTGATAAGAGTAAGTAACACGAATTACATATTAGACTATTTACACCACCTAAGACTGAACTTAAAAGTAAAAAAATATTTAGCTAGGAAAGGTATTTTCAAAAGTAGTAAATGCGCCTTAATATTTTGTACTCATCTGATTTCGTTGATTGAATATGAAACTAATGTCAATTTGAAACTAGCGTTTGAGTTTTACCTTTTAATTAATTGTCTGATCGTTTTACTTGCGAAATTAATTTCTTTGCACTCAAAGATGCTGGTTAACTTAAAATAGATAAACATACCTTTGAACGACTGTTAAAATTTTTATAATATGAATCCTTTATAAATCGTATATGAATCTTTCATTCTTACGTGGTCTAGGAAACAAGATTGAATACTTTGCTGGACCAAAATGAAGTTTTCAAACAAATATTTGTCTCTAATTCAAACTACGAGATTTCCCACTCAAGCAGCCTTCTCAATCTTAAAGATCCCTCTTCTATCGAGAATTCCCTCTCAACCTACCTCACCACTCATTTAAACATCTTACTAAATCTTCCACTCTTACCTTACCCTACCTTACCTATTAGGCCACTCAAACCTCAGAAGGTCTCGCCAACAATGCCTCGCCATCTCTCTCTGTCTTGCATCCATTGAGCCTCTGTCCCCAATCTTCTCAAGTCCTTTTCTACTTGGTCCTTCCAGCGAAGTCGTGGTCGTCCCAAGGGCAACTTTCCTCTTGGCAGTCCTTCATTTATCACTTTAACTGTTGCATTTTGTTCTCTTCTTGCGATATGGCCTGCCCACCTGAGTCTTCTGCTTTTGATTTGGGCTATGTCCGAGTCTCTGTATAGCTCTCGAATCTCTTTATGAGTAGTATTCTCCATATTCCATCTTCATTTATGGGACCATAAATTCACCTTAAAATTTTGTTTTTCGATGGTGTTTGCACCATCAGCTTTTTTCAGCCTGTTTTGGCATTGCCCATACTTCTGACCCATACAATACTACAAGTTGTATGATGGTTTTATAGACCCATAACTTGGTCTTTCTTGAGAGTAGTTTCCTTTTAAAAAGCCCTTGTAAAGCCCAATAACATCTGTTGGCATTTATTATTCTTGTGTTGATTTCAGTCATTTCTTAACTGATTCAATCCAAACACTCAATGAGCCTCTTCATTCATCAAAACCATTTAACCTCATTACACAATGAACCCACCCACTCATTTGTAATTCGCACTCTTCAAAGCGACACACTCATAAAGCCACGACTCATTAGATCCACACATTCATTGACCAACTAATTCAATCAAGAAAACCAGCTCCTTTGAAAAGCTTACTTATTTCTTTGTCAACAGAGCATCCTTGGTACACGGTCGTTGCTGTAGACAATGACAAGTTCTCCAAGTATCCAGGACAACCAGACTGGCTTACGGTCAATGAAGCAAAGCTGAAAATCCAGGAATTATCACTTAAACATCACTTATATAATGGGAAACCTTTGCCTGATCCATACGGTTGCAAAAACCATTTATACCATCTGGGGCTTTAGCATTACGTAAAGTGAGGTGAAATATAAAAGCTATCTATGAAATTTTGATTAAATATGCTGCCAAAACTATTTATCTTCATGTCTAAAAGTGCGGTGAGGTTTATTTCACTATCATATATTATGGTGGATTATTATGATTTTAAAATGATTTACAGATAAACAAAATACCTATCACACAAAAATAATGTGATAAGAGATGATCCTTTGTAAACAACGTGGTAATATACTTTGAGTTAAATTGGGTATCTTGAGTGTCGGGATCGTTATTGTTATTCTCACGTTAACCAATTGAAAAATCACACTTTTTACAAAAGCAATCAACCTAAATGCAGGACTTTTCAAATTAACAGATAAAATAAAAGGAAATCTGGAGGTTAAAGGGACTGATGAGTCCAGTACTTGTTAATTTACACCTTTGAAGTTCGTTAACTATAACAATTCTCTGCGTGAAACCAGACCCTACTTGCTTGGATTGAAATACCCTGCGTGAGAGTGTGCTTTTAGTAAACACATGATTGAATTTCTTAGTCTTATTCTTCTCAGTCTAGACCTACACCCTGAACCCGCAGCCTTGACTTGATCATTAGTTGTATGGCCATACAGTGTTATTTATTCATACAAATGTTGGTTAGTGCCTAGCATATGTTTTAAAGACTTTTTGACGACCTACAAGGAGCGACAACACGTCTAGACTTGACAATGACACCTGAGTATCGAAACCGGTCGCCACCCAGACGACCAAGGATTACTTTGGCAACATTAGATGTTAAGTTTATGATATACAAATTTCTTAGCTGATTCTCTTAGTTTCAAACATATATATTAGGTAGAAAGCGTCAACTGTAATTAAGTGTAAATATGTTGTGTTGGGAATAGTTTAACAATTATTAATTTACACTGAGAGACTCTCGACATCCTCTCAATCGTGTTGTACTACTATACTGTCAGTTTAATGTATCTCAGACTACCGGATAAATCCATTCTAGGAATCTAGGACACGAGCTTGGATCTGTTTGTTACTACTAGAGCTTGTATTCATTGATTATTGAGGGGGTTTAAGGCCAATCAAGACCTTCGTAAACATAAGTATTGCCTTAGTATAATATTAACATTTCTTTGCTAATTCTCGTTTCAAACATATAAATTAGGTAGAAAGCGTCAACTGTAATTAAGTGTAAATATGTTGTGTTGGGAATAGTTTAACAATTATTAATTTACACTGAGAGACTCTCTACATCCTCTCAATCGTGTTGTACTACTATACTGTCAGTTTAATGTATCTCAGACTACCGGATAAATCCATTCTAGGAATATAGGACACGAGCTTGGATCTGTTTGTTACTACTAGAGCTTACTACTATGTATTCATTGATTATTCAGGGGTTTTAAGGCCAATCAAGACCTTCGTAAACATAAGTACTGCCCTAGTGAATTGCTTGACACAGTTTCAGGGAACCTCTTTGAAACCAACATTGTTTTCATGAGTGATCATGATGCTGATCTCAGATCCATAAACTTTATTTGTTATCTTTGATTACGTTCGTAGAATTTACATCATAAACATATCTTTGTTTTCGTAATTCGATGCTATTAAAAATAAATTATGTACATTATACACGTTTCCCCATATGATTATATCTCTTACATGTTTAGTATTCTATGGTTTATTTTATTTCAGTCTGGCTCCAACACATGTTTTTGGATTTTTCAATTTTACTACATGTGATTATTGTTTTGATAATATCAATGTTGTTAGAAATAGTCAAGGAATACATCACAGTTTTTACCTAATTCATTTTGCATTTATTTGTTGGTGATTTTCTCTATAGATTATGTAATTGTATTTTTAAGTTATATAAAGGACTTTCTCATTCTTAACCTCAAGACTCAATTCAAGATTGGTAAGATATAATTAATTATTCATGGTAATCTCTATTCAGTTCCATTACATCAAACATAAAACTATTCTCTCCACTTTAAATTCCCTAATAATTTCATTGGTCCTTCGAGCCGGATGAAAGAATCAAGAATATGGATATTCAAAATTACTAATAGTGTACATTATTATTTGTTATTTCATCAAGATATTTAAAATTCAATCTTAAAAATCTACTAATGTACTCTGAAAAATTGGAATGTTTGATTCTGTTGCCTTAGTAACAATATTACTACCCCTTTCTATCTTTGCCTTTACAACCACATTTTTCCAATCAGCTCATTAGTACATTCCTTTAATATACAAAATGAAGTATCAAACCTTTGTCAGATTTTCTAACCTAATCAAAGTTCGTCTCAATAATATTCTTTCATTTATTGACACTATATCAGAAAATGATCATGTTGAATTAGTTGATCAACAAAAAGTTAATTCCTATAAAAGTGAAGTCAATGAAAAGCGTTGTGAATTTAATGAACACATTAGAAAATTACTGGACGTGCCGAATCTGCCTGGTGACTATGATGAACAAGATCTAATTGATCGACAGGAGGAAATAAATGAACTTTGTATCAGCATAGAAAGTAAAATAAATTCTTATCTTTTGGAAAGTAAAGGCAATGATGGCAATCAATCTATTACCTCTCATCTCAATGAACGGGAACACTCTAACATGTCTGTGGTGCGCTTACCGAAAATAGAATTAAAAAACTTTAATGGTGACTCTCAAACTTGGTTAGCCTTCATCAACCTCTTTGATACCACAATTCATTCAAATTCATCTCTCTCGAATGTGGCTAAATTTCAATATCTACTTAGTACTTTATCTGGTGAAGCACTCAATCTGGTCAAATCCCTACCCATCTCTGAAGCAAACTACACCATCGCGTATAACATGTTGCGAGATCGTTACCATTCAGTGCGAAGGCTTTCATCTCTTCACATCAATAAAATCATTGATTTGCCCAGTGTTAGTTTTTCCTCTACTAAGGATCTCAGAAACTTGCTAAACTCTTTTAATGAAAATTCCCAAGCTCTAACAGCATTAGGCTGTGATGTAGTGGAAAACAATCCTCTCTTAGCATCAATGCTTTTACGAAAACTAGACTCAAAATTGTTAAATAAATATGAATGTTCAAGAAATGACACTGAATCTCTGCCCTCAGTCAATGAGGTAATAACTTTTCTGTCAAATCATTGTGCACATGCTGAAGATGTGTCCATGCACTCACCCAATAGTAGTAAATGGGTCAAACCTCACTCAAATATCCCACCTTTGTCCAACTTCAACCGCAAAAATGAAATGACTCATCCCAGACCATTTACCCTAGCATCAACACAAAGCTCCACTGATTTCCCTTGCTTCGTTTGCTCTAAACCTGGACACAAAGTATATTCCTGTACTTTATTCAAAGAAAAATCTCCTCAAGAAAGGTATGAACTAATCAAATCCAAGCAACGTTGTTTCTCTTGTCTTGGAAATCATAAAGTCAGTATCTGCAAATCGAAAAACTCTTGTTTTAAATGTAATAAAAATCACCATACACTGTTGCATCTAGAACCATCAAAAGACCGTACATCAAGAAACTCAGTACCAAACTCTCCTCTCACCTCCATGTTAACTGTCTGTGATTATGAACATCATTCCTCCTTTCCACGGTTTATCAAACAAGAAGAACCTCCTTCATTTTCTAAACCAAATGACCTCAACATTTTGAGCAAAAGACATTTTGTGAAGACTTATTCTAGACAACCCTCTAGTATACACCACGATAAGCTACCATTCAAGCGTTGTCACCCTCCTCCTGAAGACTATTACACCACTAAAACAAGATTTTTCCCACTAGAAAAGAAATTCAAACCTCGACTGTCTTATAAAGAAGCAATCCAGAACTCTCAATTTCTAGCTCCTCTCTCAGCAGATCCATCAGACCTATCTTCACCAATACCTGAACACTTTCTGCATAGTACACCTCATGCGATAAAAGTCAAAAGATGGCATCGATGGAGACTACCTTCATACTTTGAAAGTACGCAACAAGTGGAACAAGCAAACACCAAACTTGAATGTTGGAGATCTTGTTGTGATTCAAGACATCCTTACACCTCCAATGTATTGGCCAATGGCTAGGATTGTTGATACTCACCCTGGTTCAGATGACATTACAAGAGTTGTGACTGTGCGTACGAAGAATGGACTTCTCACTAGACCGGCAATCAAGGTTTTCCCACTGCATGTACTTGAAGACTAAATTTTATTGCAGTTCAGTCCCTTTTGTTGATTTAACTTTATCTGTTTTAATTACTGTTTCTGTACTCACTTGCTAAATTAATTCATTGAACCTGCGGTTCAAGGGGCCCGGCATGTTTAGTATTCTATGGTTTATTTTATTTCAGTCTGGCTCCAACACATGTTTTTGGATTTTTCAATTTTACTACATGTGATTATTGTTTTGATAATATCAATGTTGTTAGAAATAGTCAAGGAATACATCACAGTTTTTACCTAATTCATTTTGCATTTATTTGTTGGTGATTTTCTCTATAGATTATGTAATTGTATTTTAAAGTTATATAAAGGATTTTCTCATTCTTAACCTCAAGACTCAATTCAAGATTGGTAAGATATAATTAATTATTCATGGTAATCTCTATTCAGTTCCATTACATCAAACATAAAACTATTCTCTCCACTTTAAATTCCCTAATAATTTCATTACATATATTCTGTTTGTGCATTTTTCCCTTTGTCGGTTTAACTGTTATTTTTATTTTTGATTGTCATCCTATACGAGCAACTGTCCAACTATTCTTACAGTATTATAGGCGGAATTATCATTAACTATTTTTTAGATCACAACAACAGCCTAATTTTAGTTTAGTGTCTAAATTATGTAAATCTTAAATTAATATAGTTTGTACTTTGTCTTTGTGTAATGTAAGCATTAGAATCTTATAGTTTCAGCTTGGGCTAAATGTTATTGATTTATGGAATGTTATGGAAAGTGTTGTCCATCTCTCAGCTTTCTTTGCCGATAATTAATTTTCTTTAGTAAACAGACGATTACTCAGATTTAGCAAATCACTATACATTCAATAAACATAAGTTACATAGTATTTTATCATTGTAAAATAATCTTGAGTAACACATTAATTGTAAGCTTTCGTGTGTTTTTATATTCATACAACTACTGTATAGTACAACCAATATTTTAAAGGTCTTAGAACACAGTTTAAATTCGAATCATTGATCAAATGCAGCCTCCATTCTTAAAAACGCTTAGTCATGGGAACACAATATCTCAATACGCATACATAAAAAATGCTATCTCAATTCCATTTGCAACAGCAAACACAATTCACACAGCCTGTCAACTACAGCCCTGGAGATATATTGTGGCAATATGCAGCTTATGTGTCTACCAAACGACTGTCATTTGGCCTACACTACTTCAAATAATGTGTGGAACATTGACAAATAAAAACACCCTTGTCAGGAAATATGTCCTTTAAGGTAAATAGATTGTTTTTACGACACAAAATAGTCATTGATGAAGGATCCATAGTATAACAAAATATGTAAAAGAAGAATAATAAAAAGTGCTTTATCGTTTCAAAATATTGTACACTCAATCGTCTTCCAAAGTGTTATCAGATCTACTTTGGTTTCCTCGCATAAGTAGGGATTTTCCTGAGTATTCGTCGGCTGTGTGCATGACGTAAGGTACAATTGGGGTGTATACTTGTTTGTTATAATTACTCACTCTTCGGCGCCCCTCAAGCTGTAACTAGGTGTGTTGCTAGGGCTTTGTTTAGGAGTTTAGGATTTTTATGAGTTTAGCTTAAGAGCATGGGGTCGGTACCTACGTCAGATAAAATAGCACAAATTTCAGCTGGTTTACAGATTTTTTCAAGACATGCGTGTAAAAAAACTTTTGCAAAGGCAAATTCTAACAGTTATTATGTGAAATAAATATTTTTAAAGCCTGTGTCTCTTGGCCAACTATATTTCATGTAATTGTATACCAACATTAGTTTTAAATCCAATGATTGTACAGTAAAACAGCAACTTTGTCCTTGTAAAAAAAATTTATATGTAATCAGGGACTTTGAGAATTTCTAGATGATTTGCACACTGGATATGAGTTGTTAGATCCCCTTCTACTGCAGACTATTATACTTACCCTCTCTCATCTCTTTGGTCACTAAAACCTTAACACAGATTTTAGGTCATTTGATTACACGCCAGCATTTGGGATACATATTTTAAAACTGCTCAGTTCCTGAAAACGCAAACCATTTACATTATGAAAGAAAACTGCATTTAGTAAGACCATAAACATAAATGTAGTACTGAAAGTGACTCTTTTGTAAGCAACCTGTTACTTAAACATTCCTGTACAGTTGCCGGCTAAATCAAGAGAAAGGAAATCATATTTTGAGTGTTCTGAAATAAAACCTTAATTTTTTTGTATTAAAATTTTGGAAAATAATTTAAGATTAAATATCTACGTTAATGTTATTGATTTTAAATACAAAATCTTACATACTATTTCTTCAACCAAGGTTGAATTCCAATTAAATGAAAGTTTACTAAACTATAATCAATAGTTTTACAATTATTGTTATTTGAAAATGAAATTTGGACATTAAATTGTTTGGTTTAACCTTATTAAATTGTATATAGAACCCATCTCTTGTGATATATTTAACCATGCGTTCCAGTTCCACCAACTCTTGATATAATCAACGGATTGCCATCTTGATTGTGCAGCTGTCCGTAAAATTGTGTTCTTTGACGCGTTGGATGACCGACTGAGCCACACACTGAAATGTACTCCAGAAATTCGAGCTAAGCTTTTGTTATCTTGAGTAAAAATAAAAGTTTTGTTTACCAGGGCCAATGAATTATTATTTTAGGTGTATTCGCTTTAATGTTCTATCCTTATCTACAAAAGTCTGCAAATGTAATAAAATGTAAATGTAATTAAAATGTAAGCAATGTGGTTTGTCTATGTGATGAAATATTATGTGTATTATGTAATAGTATATTTCATACCTAGGGCCGAAAATGAGGTTTTGCCGGCTCGAGATAGTTTTTAAGTTCCGAGACGAAGTCGAGGAATTTAAACGATCGAGAGCTGCAAAACCATTTCGGTCCGTGGTACGAACGCTGTTTTTCACCTCACTATACTCAATTAACACTATTAACCACAATAATGCAATGCACACTGATAGTCAATAGAACTACAAATTTAAGGTTATGTGAATAAATAATTAGAGGAATCAGCTAAAATAGTAATAAATAGTTGCTAGGCAGCGGTAACAATAAAACAATTCTATTGCAACACTATGGATACTTGAATATTTAATATGCATTCATGTTTTAAGAAAGTAAGCGGGCGGCTGATTTTGCGGCCCTAGGGATGCAAAAACCTGCTCGGTCCCCAAATGACGAGGATAGCTGGCATGTCCAGCAAAACGTAACTTTCAGCCACCAATTGACGTATGTAAAAAAGCTAAAAACATCATAGTGTGGTGAAAAATTAGTAAATCCCCTTCATTGATGACGCCACTTTTTCCGTGACATCTTTATGGAAATTGGAGATGGGAATTATAACATACTATATTTTTAACATCTTTTTCTGTTTTCCACTGCCCGAGTAACAGTAGTTATTAATTAAAGGAAGCCCACTTAAGGTAACTAGGAGAAATAATATTATTTACACTAGGTTAAAATATTTTAGTGTTAAGTTTAGTTAACACAAATTCTTTACAGTTAGCGTTGAACAAAGTCCTAGTCCTGTTTCAGCTCCTAGCCGAACACGTGGTGTATGCAGTCTCGGTAGTCCAAGTACTTCCCGTAGAGCCAATGTTTACGTAGTTTTAGGCTGTGTATCTTACTCTTAGCAGCAGACCATTTTGGCTCTCCCTCCTTATCCAGCACAGCTATAATCGTGTACCACGGATGCTCTGAGAACATAAACATATATTTAATATGTAATAAATATAATTTGGATACTAAGGTTGACCTGTGAGCTAAATGTACGCCTACCAGCTGCAGCAAGATTCTTGTCCAGATAGGATGCAGTATATAAACTATTACATTACTATTAAAATTCAATTTTCTATATTATGTTTCTATTCAAAGTCTTAAAATAGACTGTAAGCTATATCTTATAGTTCAACCAGTTCTAGAAAAGATTGTGTATTAATCAGAAACCCGAAATTTACACTAGAATTCACTTACGGTGGATTAATTAACCTACGTTTATTGAGATGTCAGTCTCTATTAATAGTCGAATGTTGATTTACTATTGGTTTCATAATAAAACAAATTGAGTTTACAGTTTAGAATAATAATATTGGCAAATATTTTATGAAAGATATTTTTATTAACTACTAGGTGAGGGTGCAAAATATAAAGTTTTAGTTCTTTAAAAACACCTCGGGGAATGGCTACACGTCCGCCATTCAATCTAGAAACAAGTTTTAGCTGTACTATCGATTTTGAAAAATAAATGTATTTCCGTTAACTCTAGGCAACCGGATATGATATAAAAGTGGTGCTAATCTACCTAACTACTGTATGTATATTATTAAATGTTTAAAACAAACCCGAGTTTATTTAAAATAAGATATTTTGTTAACATCAGAGCGCTCGTGCGCTTGAACGTATCCATGTTCTAACGATGGTTGTAACACTGGTAAACATTATGAAACCTGATGACAGGATAAAACAAGGTGATGATTTGTCAATAGAATAAATAAAAACACCAAAGCTTTTCTTACTTAAACTACGGTCACATTTATTGACCTATTGAACTTTACTACACTTGATAATTATTGTTTTGGTTGAAAGTAAGAATAATTAAATACACGATAAAACCAAAATCCATCCTTGTTATAATCTAAATCAATGATTTGGCCTATTGGTGTGTGATTTATATGTTAACAGTATCGCAAAGGTTAATAAAACTTACTTCTATCAATCTTGCACCTATGGTATGCTACGACTCCTTCTCTTTTGTCAAAGTATAATGGATACATAAAGTATTCCGGCACATCCGTTATTCCATCTGTTCAACAATAAAAGCAACTCATAATGATTTCTAATTTATAAAATATTATAACGTAATCAAGTTACTAGGTCTACTACTACAAGTTACGTAATAAAATAACAAGAATGCGCCTCTACTTAGAACGTAATTATTAAGAATAATACCAATTTAAAATAACAGTATTTTATGTTTTTCATTATTTAATTAAAAAACGAACTTAAGAACAATATTTATTTCAATTAAGTTCTAAAATGAAAAGTCTAAAACAAATATTCAATTCCAGCAATATTATGTAGTCCTAACTTACTTTTCTCGACGTAGACTCCGTTATCCAATCTCACCAACGCTCTTTTTTCTTCCGTTTTTACGTCTGACGATATCCTAATTCGATTGAAATATACAATCAAAATACAGTATTTAATTATTGTAAGTATTTTATGGGAATATTTCAGCAAAATGAGCAGTTTCTTCCGCACGTAATGTTTTTACTGAACTATACGTGTATTATAATTGGTTTCATCTTAACAATACAACTAAATCAAACTACAAGAAAATAGAGTTCATAACGTATCCATCGGAAAATGATGCCAAAGAAATAACAAGAGCTACTAAGAGCTGGCGATAAAGTTTTATAACCTAATTTCGTTATGGATGAAGTATCTTATTTTGAAACTGTATGTGTATATTACACTAGTGATAACTTCATGGCACAGATTACAGCATTTCTTTTTAGTGCTGAACTCAATATGAAATGTAACATCTTGTATAGTAACATGTAACCTTAACCTAGAAATATTGTGTAATTTGTAATTGTAATTACAAATTAATGTAATTACAAATTAATGTAATTTAAATTAATGTAGTTACAAATTAATGTAATTACAAATTAATTGTAATTTGTATCAACTTACACTTGGGTGCGATACAAATGTGTGACTTGAACAACGTTTTCCATGTATTTATCCTTCTCGTACTTTGCCCAAGCGCAAATCACGGAACCTCCCAGGCATTCGTGGCACGAGTGTTTTCTGGCGATCCAAACAGTTAGGAATCGATTGCCGGTAATCTGAGAAAACCTCAAACATAAACAGTTGGTAAATATGTAATATGAAATCAATAACTAAGTATTTGGTTCAAGACAATCCCCAATTTATAATAATATAAATTTGTTTTTGAAGGCAAGGTCTCATTAACTTAATTTCACAAGGAGTAAACTGTATAAAATATTCTATGACCTATGCAACAATTACCTGACAAAATGGACAGTTTGTTATATTTTAATTCCTTTAATTTTAATAAACTAGCTACACAATATTATAGTGAACTAAAAGGTATGATTCTAAGATCAAAAAACAGAGTGGAGTATAATTCTTTAGGGATGGCCGCAACGTTAAATTACTTACAGTAACGTACTACGTACTACGGCTTGGATTAGTTGCAGAATATATTTTCTGTACAACACAATTAAACTGAAGAGCGTTTAGCGGGCCTTCACATTTTGTATGGGCACGGACAGGCACGTTTTTGGTTCCCCTTAGTGCGCGAGTCCCCTATGTAGTTTCGTCAATTCAAAGACACAGTCATCTACCAGGGACCAACATACATAGATCAATGGTTATTAAATAACTAAATATTCTGAAAGAGATGTTGTACTCACGAACGGTAGGAACTCTTGGTCTTCATCTTTGACTATGTGATCTTGAAGGCGTTTGATTATTTCAGTGTCGCATGAATCAATCTCCAACAAATGTAAGGTTAGAATTAAACTAACCAATAATATTCTGGTGTTCATTTCCTGTATTTGTTTTTCTTCAAACCGAAAAAATGTGTGTTTAGGTCCTTGAAATTCATAAAAAGAACTGATTAGATTTAAAATAATGAAACATTTCTGCAAGCAGTGTTTGTCTTACAACAATAATTTATTATAAAACACGAACAATTCCTTGAGTAAATTGCATTAAACAGAAAAAAAGAAAGAATGTAAAACTGTGGCATATTTTCAATACGTGCATTAAAAAGTTGAAATAAGCATTCGTTTTTACAAATCGGTATCAGTAGTATAAGAATAGGACAAACAGAAAATACTTTTATTAGGTACAGTAAAGATAATAATTATCAATACGTTGTATCATGTAATACATTCCTTAACGTAATGAGAGGTTTTAAGAATTTACAGTATAAGTTTAGAGGTTAATTCAACAACTGTGTAATACTCACAGTTGAATATGATAAATAAATTTATACTTTTGTCGATAATAACGTCTAAATTATTGCTAACATAGCTTTTACTTACCTAAAGGCAGAAAAGTTTCCCATAAGTTGGTTAAAACACATGTACACTTTAAAAGTGTTCACACATTTTTTAAACACTTTACTTGAAATCATAAATCAATAGTGTAATATCTATCAAAACTGTTACGGCCACTGAATAGGTTTGAACCAGGTTTGAACAATCGTTTGCGACACAGATGGCTTTCTATGAACTAATGGCTTCATTATTATGACGCAATACTTAGCACTCTATTTGACAGAGGGAAAGGCTGCAGATATTACAGAGGGGATGGCTCTACAGAGCATATATAGCAATACAGAGCAATACAGAGCAAAATTAGCTTTCTACAACAGATATTATGATGTTTTATATGTTTCCAGATATAAAAAAAAACAAAATAAATACTGAGCAATTACAAAAGTATTTTAAGTACCTAGAGGAATCGTTTGATCTTTTCGTGTTTTCATACATTTTATTTATAAATTCAATCGTAGGAAGTGTATTTTCATTTTTTAGATGTTATGCAAAAATACAGCATAAACATGTATTTTTAATCGTGTGATTTTTTAATATGATAATTAAGATCAATAGTTAATTATTGTGGTTCGATTACAAGTAAATGTCTTGTAAACATGAGATATAGAGTGTCTTGATTCATGTGTAATATAATAGTTTACCTAAAAATAGATCTGTTGAGAAGTGATTTTATTTTTAAATCATCTGCGTAAAACTACGAAATATCAAAATAATAAAGATTTTAATTGTTGTAGAACGAAAAAGCTAATAAAATTGTTTAATTTGTATAATGTTTGAGAATGAAATGGAAATTCTTACGAAGAGGGAAAGAATCCTTAATCATTGATAGTCTAGAAAACGGAAAGTAAATCAAAGAAACGTCTTATAACACTTAAAACATATATCTACGCTTATACTGTTACTCACAAGACGGTAAATATACATAAAAGATGGTAAGTGGTACAATGCTGATCAAGAAATTATTTAGTCTAGAAAACCAAAACTCTGTAGAATATTTCACATACTACACTCCCTTGTTGTAGTTTAATTAAAAGAATATTAATACGTCGAATTTAAATACAATTTACTAAAATTAGTGATGGATTAGCATATTTATTTTCTATGTGTGTTTCACATACAGGCTACATTAATCTAAAAAGAAAATGGATACAAATAAGGAGATTAAGACATTCTCGAGAAAGATAAATGTAAAGCTATTAAAATGGTATCCTCACTAAATATTACTATTTTACTCTCAGACTAACCAAACAAAAATGCGAAACTGCACCAGAGAACTTGCAAGATGGTCGAAATGAGCCAAGCTACAATCTAGCAACACGACTCTTTGGCAAAACGCCAAACTCCAAGCTTTGCACTCTGGCTTAGGACCAAGTAAAACTATCATTTCGTGTTTTAGTGAGATTTTAATCTTATAATCATGTTTGAGGTAGGTATGACAGTAAAAGGTTTCTTCAATTAATTCGCGTATATGCCTAATACATAAATAATTACTCAGATTTTTAATTTGAACTGCTTTAGGACCTATTAAATTTGCCAAAAAATTATAGTGTTAAAGCATAAACTAAATGTTGTAAGTACCGCATTACTAACCCCATGCTAGCTATACTGGATCCTCTTTCCCAGCATCTTGATAAATGTTTAGTTAGGGTTTAGTCTTGGGACATCACTAATTTTATGTCTCACGTTCACATCCTAGGAAGCTAGGTTTTAGCACAACTGTTTTACACATTACTTCAGCCCAGTCATACAGGGCCTTAACATTATTACATAGATAACATCCATTAAATGAGTAAATAAATTAAATTAAATTAAAAAGTGCTTTATTTAACAAAATAAACAATCATACAATACCAAATAAATAACCTAACTATACAATTACAACATTTAAAGTTGGCCTAGCACTTACAACATTGGTCTTTTGAACCGTCTGTTGGTTGGCATTTCCCTTGCAAAACCATTATATTTCGATTCTTGATTTATAAAATCCATTGGTGATTTGCGAGATTTGATCCCGGTACCTCAGGCACCGAAGCCCCGCGATCTATCAATAGACGACCTCACTAATCCATTTATTTATGAACCTTTAACACATTTAACTACAGTAAAAAAGTTAAGCAAATCCATAGCTTCATAAAAGTGTATATTTCATTATAGCATATAACCCCTATACCAAATTCTATTGATAATTTGCTAAGTAAACCCCGATTAATACCACTCTATTAATGTAAGAGCTAACCTGAAGGAAGGCTTGGTACAGTAAATATATAAATACTGCAGTCTAATGAATTGAATTTACTTTCACTTCCAAAGTCGAAGACAATTTTCTAAGTCTATATTTTTCCCTTTTTTTCTCGAAAAAGACAATCAACTGCATTAAATAACCAGCCAGAATGTTTGAGCTTAACAAACTCTTTTCATACAACCTACTATAGTAATTTATGCATGGAAAAAAACTAAAACTATCAGGTTATTTTTGTTGTTGAATTTAAAGATTTTCAAGCAACTATTTCAATAAGTACATTTTATTAAACTAAATTGTTTGTCTGTCGTAGGTCCTAAGCAATATTACTCCTTAAAGTGAAATCTTTTACCCCCTTAACAGGGGTTCCTGTTAACAAAGCTTACAGCTTACTCTCAAAACCCACCCAACATAGGAATGATAAAACCAACAGATAGTGCGGTCAACTGATAAATTGTATTCCCTGAAGTGTTGAGGGACTATGAGGGTAAACCTTGGAATGGTTCAAAATAAATTAAAATTTCACTCTTAAAGACTGTACAATTTATCACTGAAAAGACTGTAGATTTATTTTTTACAAAGATATTGATTTACTCAAAAGATTTATTTACTCAAAATTGAATGTGGATCGCAGTGTCATGTCTACGTCTTATTGCCCGAAACCTATAATGCATAAAAACATATATTTAGCAATGGATTTATTGGTTATTGGAATAAGTATGCTTGTGAAAATATAAAATTGGTAAATGTAGTAAAATAAACCAGCAACAAAGTAATAAAACTACATAAAATCGGTTCATTTGTATCGGGTACACGTACAAAGAGGACATTTAAGACTACAGTAGAGGTCGGTTACCTTAGCCAAATGCTTTTGGTCAAAGCTATCCAATTACTACACAAATCTACTGTGTTACTAAAAGTTACTGTTAAAATAATTATTTTGAATTAAAATTACTAGTGAAATGGTTTTCGCGATTGTTAAGTACATCTTAAAAGTCAGAAAATAGTGAAGCCTGTTTAAATAATAATATAATCCAAATTAATTTTTTTTTATTGAGGTATTACATATAAACAGAATAGTTTTGAGCATAATATACCATAATTCTATACAAAATCTTATGAAATATATGCCAATGATGTAGGATAAAGTCTTATCACATGAAATATATAGATGAATTTTTAATTTCATTTTATACGTATTATACTTATTGAACCACTCTCACTAGTCCATGTGATGATAAACAAACTACCATCTGTCTCAAACACCTGAGGTATTCTGAGGGTAACTTTTATACAATTGATTATGAAGGAACTGATTGCAATAATAGATATTTGTATTATATATATGTTGTAAAGCAAAAGTTTTACAACTCATTTTGCCAATATAAAGAAAAATTAGAGTTTTTTTAAGTTACGCATCATACCATTGAAGCATTATCACAAACAAAAACAATAAATATAGTATACCTATATAATAGAAATTATATACATTATTTCTCATCAACAATATTTTAATCTTTCGTCATTAAAATTACTTTTTTTCTGATTACCATAAAAGAACATATAATTCCATTATAAGTTAATAGTTTCGTTTAAAGGTCGCTAAATCGTAGTTGGAACATTGAAGGATCTTATAATTAATGTATTTTCAAAGATAAACTATTGTTTCTTACAGCCGAAGTTTGCCTTTAAGAATAAGAATCCTTTATTGTCATTAGACACAGTTGTGCAATAGACATTGTCAAAGAAAACTATAAACTAGAAAATGTAACAGAGTCATGAACATTATCACAGTAGACCTTATATAACATACATGTAAAACTTAGCCTATATCACAGAAGAGATCACAGTTGTCAATTGAGAATAAATATCATAAAATAAAAATTGTTGAATAACAATGCATGTTACTTAAAATCTATAAAATCAGTAGCACTCAAATGCAAAAACTCATTAACAGAATAAAGTGGGTGCTTTAGAAGACCATTTGTTACAACAGTTTTAAAATTAGCAAAGGATTCAATATTCTTGACATGATGAGGTAGTATATTGTACAGTTTAAGCCCTATAACTTTAGAGCTTTTGGCTGCTTTGGTCAATCTACAAAAGGGAATGTCAATTTCATGCTTGAGCCTTGTGTTGTGGCTATGTACATTTAGCCGTTTCAACAAGAATACAGATTGTTTTTTTACTTCTAATAGAACATACAAAACATATAAACTAAAGACAGTTAACACTTTTTCATGGATAAAAATAGGCCTACAGTGCTCTGAGTAGTCAGCTGAAGCTAGTATTCTGACAGCTTTTTTCTGAACCAGTAAGACATCATGTACTCCAGCTGCATTTCCCCATAAACATATGCCATACAGTAAATTACTTTGAAAGAAACTATTGTAAGCAAGCTTGAGATATGACTTAGGGACATTTTTATCTAAAGATCTTAGTAAATATACAACTCTTGAAAGTTTGTTACAAATATAATCCGTATGAAATTGTCAGGTCAATTTTCTATCAAGAACTAAGCCTAATAGTTTAACATTACTCAACCCTAATTGATCACAGGAGGGAGAATCACTAGCCTTGACATTTTTATTACTAAAAACTATGGTTTGAGTTTTGTCATTGTTAAGTATGAAACCATTGGTACTGAACCAGTTGGATACACTTTTAAGGGCACTTTCAGAATTCAAATTGACAGTTTTTATATCAGAACCAGCATTAAACAAAGTAGTGTCATCAGCAAAACATACAGTCTCAAATGGTACATTAACATCAATGTCATTAACCATGACAAGGAATAAAAGAGGTCCAAGAACCGAACCTTGCGGCACGCCAAAGGGTACAAGTCTCTTACATGAATACTGA